AGCGCCCCATGAACGCCTTCATGGTGTGGTCACGGGGCCAGCGGCGAAAGATGGCCCAGGAGAACCCCAAGATGCACAACTCGGAGATCAGCAAGCGCCTCGGGGCCGACTGGAAGCTGCTGAGCGACGCCGAGAAGCGGCCCTTCATCGACGAGGCCAAGCGGCTGCGGGCCGTGCACATGAAGGAGTATCCGGATTACAAATACCGGCCCCGAAGGAAGACCAAGACGTTGCTGAAGAAGGACAAATACTCGCTGCCCGGCAATCTGTTGGCCCCGGGAGGGGGCAACGCGGTGAGCAGCCCCGTCGGAGTGGGGCAGAGGATTGACACTTATGCCCACATGAACGGCTGGACCAACGGGGCTTACTCACTGATGCAAGACCAGCTGGGCTACAGCCAGCACCCGGGCATGAACAGCCCCCAGCTGCAGCAGATGCACCGTTATGACATGACGGGCCTCCAGTACAGCCCCATGATGTCCACGGCCCAGACCTACATGAACGCCGCCTCCACCTACAGCATGTCCCCCGCCGCCTACGGCCAGCAGCCCTCCACGGCCATGAGCCTGGGCTCCATGGGCTCGGTGGTGAAATCCGAGCCCAGCTCGCCGCCTCCTACCATCACCTCCCACTCGCAGAGGGCCTGCCTGGGAGACCTGCGGGATATGATCAGCATGTACCTGCCCCCGGGGGGGGATGCCACAGACCCTTCCGCCCTGCAGGGCAGCAGGTTACACAGCGTCCACCAGCACTACCAGAGTGCCGGGACTGGCGTGAATGGGACCGTACCACTAACTCACATATAAACTTGGCTGCTCCGGACGGCTCCCCGTCTTAATCCCTAACCCCACCACCATTCCCTGACTACACCGGGACGTACGGCAGTATTGCTCAGCTTAACAGACTTAATACTAACTTTGGAGAAGTTTTAAAAAGGAAATCCGTTAGTTGTGTCCTTTTTTTTTTTTGTACAAAAAAAAAAAAAAATATTTGAGCAAGCTGTTATTTTACTAGAGCACAACTCCTGCCTCCTAGAAGTCGCTGTGAAGTTTTCAAACCACGGCAACATCTTTCCTGGTTTCTGCTAGGTTGGGCACTGTTTTATTCGCTTAAAAGTTTTAAAAAACATTTTGCATCTTCCAGTTTGATTTCTAGCGTTGAAATGACATAAAAAAAAAAAAAAAAAGAAAAACCGGCGGGGCCGGCGGGCTTTTGTTTTTAAACTCAGTTGTTCACATTATCGTTGTGGTTTCTTACGTGTTTTGTTCTTCCCACCTTACCGAGCCTCGCTTCGTTTCTATCCACAATCTGTAGCTTCCACGACTTTTTAACTTTAGGGTTTTGTTCCTTAAAAAAAAAAATGGGGAGGTGGGAGAGAGCTGTGCGGGTCGCAAACGCATTTCTTTTATTTATAGTAAGTTGTGTGTCTTGGTTTTTCTTAAGCTGTAAACTTATGTAAGTTGGTTTGTGAATTTTACTGTGAACCATGTTTTAACATATCAAATGAAGAAACGTTTTAGTTTTGTTTACCGGATTTCTTCCAAAAAAAAAAAAAAAGTCATCGAAATACTCCTTTCCTTTCCCCTATCCCTAGTCCTGGTCTGCTTCCTTCTTCCAAACGAAGAGATCAATAAATTTTATATCAGACACGTCGGCGGTCTTGCGGTTTGTGCGGGGGCGGGCTCGCAGCTGGTCCCTCCGCGGCAGCGGGGAGCGCGGAGCGGGGCAGCCCGCTCCTTCCC